TGGTTGTTGACAGAATTCAATTTCTTGAGGTTGTAGGACTGAGGTCTCTATTTCCTTGTTCACATCAGTCAAAGGCTCAGTTTCTAAAGGTGACAACAGTTCTTTGTCATGTGGCCTTTTCACAATCTGACCGCTTACCTCTTCAAAGCCAGGAGAAGCTCTCTACAGTCTGCTAAGATGGAGTCTTGTCTAGCATAATATAAAGATCGCAGTGACTAGCCCACCATTTTTGCTATGTTCTGTTGACTAGAAGTAAGAGGCAGACTTTGTTTACACTCAAGGGGAAGAAGAGATGATACAAGGGTGAGATTCCTTGTTGGTCATCATAGGATGGATTTGCCACAGCAGCTTTTATACTTGTAATAGCCTTGGGCTGGAAACAGTGCGCATGTCCACCAACAGATGAACAGATCAACAAAATGTGGTATGTCCATATAGTGGGATACTACTCAGCAATAAAAAGTAATGAATAATATATGTAAAACATAAGCAAATCTCAAAATAATTAAGCTGAGTGAAAGAAGCCACACAAAGCTTTACAGCATAATTTCACTCATATGAATATGTAGTCAGTGCACACTGATCTGCAGTGACAGAAAGCAGATCATTAGTTGGGGATAAGAGCAGGAAGTGGAAGCAGGGGGAGTATTCCAAAGGGGCACAGGAAAGCTCTTGGGGACAATACAAAGAGGGACCCCCAAAACTTGGAATTTATTTATAAAAAATTGTGTCTTGATTCTTACATGTTTAAACTTCAGTCACCCTCAAAAGACTCTCTATTTGGTGCAATATGCCTATGGAGAGGAGTCACTTTTTCCACCGTTCAAAATGTTTACACTCAACCATTTTGATGACTTTTAGGGCTTCTGCCATTTTTTGGTTCCACATGGGCAAAGCGTTTCCCTTTGAGGACTTCTTTCATCTGGCAGGGGGAATAATCACTTGGGATAACATCAGGTAAAGAGGGAGGGTGGAGCATCAGGGTCACGCCACTTTTGGTCAAAAACTGCTGAACACCTGGTGCAGTGTGGGTGGATATGCTCATAGATAACCTATGATGACATGGGCAGACACGTTGAATGAATCTCCAAAAAAAAATTTTACTGAAGGCCAGGCGCAGTGGCTCACGCCTGTAATGCCAGCACTTTGGGAGGCCAAGGTCAGAGGACTGCCTGACCCCAGGGGTTCAAGGCCGTATCTCTACAGCAAATCAAAAAATTAGCTGGGCGTGGTGGTGCGTGCCTGTGGTTCCGGCTACTTGGAAGGCTGAGGCCGAAGAATTACCTGATCCATCAGGTCAAGGCTGTGGTGACCATGAGTGTGCCACTGCACGCCAGCATGGGTGACAAAGTGAGACTCTGACTCAAAAAAAAAATTCACTTAAGTTGAACGTAGTATCTCACAGCAATGCTGGCTGGTACACTGATGCCAATGGGTTCCTATTAATAGAACACTTACTAGCAGAGAGAAGCCTGTACTACAAGGGATCCGTCCTCTTAAAAAAAGGTAATTCTGGTTTGTTTGGGGTTTTTTTGTTCTCCCCCGGTAGATATGTTTTCAGTCTGGATAGTGGTGATGATTACATGGAAGTGTCATATATGAAAACTTAAGTTGTATACTTCAAATAGTTCAATTTCATTATGTTGATTATACATCAATAAAACTGTTTAGAAAAACCTAACACCTAGCATCTTCCCCCAGAATCAACTCTCTACTGCTTCCTTTTTTGTTACTTTTGAATTCACTAATTTGCTAGCATTTCCAAGTTTATTTATTTATTTATTTATAGAAAGCAGGATTTATCGAGAGGACAGAAAAGCTCCCACAGTGGGAGGGGATCCGAAGGGTTGCCCCCAAGTTTATTTTTTAAACAACAGAATCTGATACAGTGGAATAGGAACTTTTGTTTGAGATGGAGAAATTGTGGCAGCTGTTGGTATGTGGTCCTATATTACAGGGCATCTCTAAGAAGGAATCTGGTTAGCTTCTAGTTCGAAGGTTTAGTGGGAGGCAAATGGGCAAACAGGCAAAACAGACAATTCCAAAGTGGTTGTATTGCACGCACGTAGACATATTCCATGGTGCCCCCCCCACACACACAGAGAGAGAGAGAGAGAGAGAGAGAGAGAGAGAGAGAGAGAGAGAGCGCCCCCCCACACACACACAGAGAGAGATGACAGAGACCTAGCCTGGAGTAGGTTATGTAGACTGCAGAGAAAATTCTGTGGAGATGATGACTGAGTTGAGTTGTAGGGGATAAATAGGAGCTAACCACAAAAAAGGGAAAAATATTCCAGCCAAAGGCCAGGGAGCAGGAAAGAGCATGCTACACGTGGGGAAGTATAAGGAGTTTGGTAACGTCAGGCACAATGGTATGGTCTGAATGTTTGTTTCCCCCTGAGAGTCACATGTGAAATCCTAATGCCCAAGGTGATGGTGTTTGAAGGTGGGCCTTTGGGAATTTATTTGGTCATGGGAGTGGAGCTCTTATAAATAGAATCTTTGCCCTTATAAAAGAGGTCTCAGAGAGACCTCTTGCCCTTCTGCCATGTGAGGTTAAAATGAAGAGATTGCCATCTATGAACCAGGAAATGAAGTTTCCCTAGAAATGAGGGACAGATCTATTTAATAACTCCGTCTAAGGTCATGTGTGTGTGTGTGTGTGTGTGTGTGTGTGTGTGTGTGTGTGAGATTTATTAAGAGCTGTGTGTGTGTAGGTAGATGGCCTCAAAATAAGTCTCAGTGTAGGCACAGCAATAAACATCTCAAAAAAAAGAACTGATCAATAATATCAAACACAGCTTCACTTCATTTCCCTCGCCAGACACCAAATCTGCCAGTGCCTTGATCACGGGTCTCCCAGCCTCCAGACCTGTAAGAAATAAACTTCTGTTGTTTATAAGCTATCCAGTTTATGGTATTTTGTTATAGCAGCCCAAACAGATTAAGACATACTGGCGGGGCATGATGGCTCACACCTGCCATGCCAGCACTTTGGGAGGCCGAGGTGGGAGGATGGCTTGAGCCTGGGAGTTCAAGACCAGCCTAGCAATATAGCGAGACCTTATCGCCACAAAAAGAACCAAAAAATTAGCTGGGTCTGGTGATGCAGCTACTTGGGAGGCTGAGGCAGAAGCATTGCCTGAGCTTAGGAGGTCAAGGCTGCAGTGAGCCATGATTGTGCCACTGCACTCTCCAGTCTGGGTGACAGAGTGAGATCCTGAGAAGAAGAAATGAGTTTAAGTTGGGTCATGTTGCACTTCAGACACATGGGGGACACTGAAGTGAAGACGTAGGTAGGTGGGGAAAAAGTACAGAGAATGAGAACATGGGTAGGTGGTAAAATCTGATAGCGGCAAGATAAATGTGCAGGGAAGAGAGTTGGGCTGGATCCCAGAAGAGCCTTTCACCAAGGGCTCAGGGCAGAAGGGCAATCCCGACTGGAGACCCAGAATGAGTGGCCAGTGATCTAGTGAAGGTAATTAAATAAACTCTCCTTTTCTAATGTTTCTATTCCAAAAACCTTTTTTGCTCTACCCCCCTCTACCATCCTACCTCCATTCCCAGGACTTATGGCTACAGGAAAAGAAACAAACAAGTGTACCTTCCTTGCCCTGAAAGAAAGAGGCTGGCTTAAGCAGAAAGGATAAAATAAACATGTGGCAGCTGATACCAAGGAAATATTTCTGGTTGACCATCGTGGTCTTTTGGAGTTAAATTTTTTGGCAACTGCAGTTTACCTGCTGGTGCTCCTCATATGTGTCCCCTTAGAATGCAGGAGAGGAGTTGGAGGCCCGGCTTCTGCTGGTAGAAGAGGCCTGCATCTTTCAACTGTGTTCCACAGTTTCACTGAGGTATGGGATGGGCCTTTCAGAGCCGTTCGCATGTGAAAAGAACTCTGCTCACTGTTATCGAGTCAGGTGGGAGTCGTGGGTTGGCTCATAGCTGTACTTTGGCACTGACAAAAGGTAGGGGAAATCTGGGTTTGCTGCCAAAATTCTGTGGCTCTGGTTTGCTCTGGTTGGGGGGATTGAGGAGGTTAGCCAAAGTGTCAGGCACGACAGTCAACGGGGGCCTTATGGTCAGAAATGTCCTGAGCAGACTTGGAAGCATTTAGCTGGCCAGGGGAGGGCCGAGAAGCCAGAGGAGAGCTAGTAGGGCTTTTCTCCTTTTTTCATGAGGACTAAAATCAGTTTCCCTAGAAATGAGGGAGAGACCTATTTAATAACCCCACCTAAGGTCGTGTGTGTGTGTGTGTGTGTGTGTGTGTGTGTGTGTGTGTGTGTGTGTTATTTATGAAGAGCTGCATGTGTGTAGGCAGATGGCCTCAAAATAAGTCTCAGTGTAGGCACATCAATAAATATCTCAAAAAAAGGAACTGATCAATATTATCAAACATAGCCTAGAGAATATAGCCGAGTAAGATAAAGCACCTCCGGAGTTTTGGCAATATCACTGGTGATCCTGGCAAATTTCAGTGGTGTCGAATGAGCAGAAGATAAGGTTTCATTGTGCAGTGGGTGCAAATGTGCAATGAAATAAAGAAATAAGAAGAGCAAATGACAGGCTACTATTAATCAATCTGACTGCGAAAACATGAGTGAGTAGTGTTGAGGAAGGAGTGATGCAGTGTCAAAGGCAGAGACGTATTCCAGAATAGGAGAGACGTCAGCGTATATACTGGGCAAAGCAACATAGCAAAAGAGAAAGGAAAAGAAAGACATAAGAACATGAGGGAAAGTTGGCCAAGGTCCAAGAGAGAATAGCATGTACTCCGGAAGAAAACAGAAGAGGAACAACAGTGGATGGTGACGTCTCAACCCTTGAATATAGAGGACACAAGACAAGAAACTAGGCACACGTAGAAAAATGTACAGGTCTCTCTCCCTGGGTTCACGTCTAGCCTGTGAAGCCTCTGCCTGCTCCTCTCCTATCCCAGCCTCTTTCTGATCCAGGTCTTGCCTGCAAAACATGCATCCAGTAGCCTGATAGCTACAGGAGTCCGATACCATTGATCAGATTGCAGCATTGAACACCCTTGACTTGACTAACTCAGTTCCAGAGAAGTATAGCTCAAGAAAGTCAAAGCAACATATTCAGCGTTTTGTACTTATATTTCTAATTTGTACTTGCAGTGAGAGGAGGAAAACAACTTGGACAAAAAATGGAATCCAAGTTCTGCGAGTCTTCAAAAGTTGCCCCATGAAACTGAGCTGTGGTGGGAGTTGTTTATTGTTCACATGCTGGGTGCATTTGGCTTAATCTTCTAAAATATCTGTGTTGAGAGCATTGGTCCAGGAGACCAGTTCTTCTACTTCCTCTTCCCATGACTCATCGGTGTCATTTTTGTCTGACGAAGTGTCATCCTCCGACTCCTCCTCCGCTTTATACATCGCTGTGATGATATTTAATTTAGTTTTGGACTTCGGAAAAATTTCAGCTGTGGTGGGAATTATGGAAAACAGAAATGTAAAAGACATAGCAGGAAAAACAACAACAGAGAAGTTACCCGCATTTGCAGTGTAATGCCAAAGATCACCTATGTGAGCGCAAGCAGCCTTTTAAAACTTGCTAAATTTCACATTTTACAATTAACTTGATTTGCCATAAAGCATTCTTTCCATTTTGCTCCATCTTTTTATGCTTTGTTAGTTCATTCATTTAATGTACATTTGCCAAGTCCCTGCTAAGTGCCAGTTGATGTGTCAGGGAAAAAGTGCATTGGGAGCACAGGGAGGGAATCACTATGTCTCAGTAAAAACACACTTGAACTTTGAAAGATGAGAGCAGTTTGCTAAACAGAGGAGAGCAAAGAAGGGAGGTCAGAACAGCTTAGATGAAAGAAACAGCACATACTGAGGCACAAAGAGGAATTGACAGGGTTAGAAGTAATTGGCAGAGGGACGCTTTATCCTTTATAGTGTCAGGTGCTGTGCTGAGCATGCTACATGTACATTAATTAATTCAGACACAACCCTAGTGATGGGCAGGAATTATTATCCTTATTTTGCACATGAGGAAACCAAGGCTGAGCAACCTGTAGTAACTTGACCATGGATATCTAGCAACAATAAGACTTCATCCCATATCTGTCTGATCCCAAAACACAATGTGATATACACAGAAAGTTCCACAGAGCTGGAAGGTAGGCTGAGGCCAGATCAGGTAAACCTCATCTGTCATGCAAAGGAATTTCAACTTTATCTTGTAACCCTTGCACACAGTAAAATAAACCGATTATATATTTTTAAAAAGAATATGGCAGCCAGGCTCGGCGGCTCAGCCTGTAATCCCAGCACTTTGGGAGGCTGAGGCGAGTGGATTGCCTGAGCCCGCAGGTTCGAGACCCACCTGGGCAAGTTGGAGAGACCTCATCTCTACAATAAAATAAAAAATTAGCCAGGTGTCGTAGCGCACGCCTGTAGTTCCAGCTATGGAAGGCTGAGGTGGAAGATCGCCAGAGCCCAGCAGGTCAAGGCTGCAGTGGCTAGGAGCATGCTACTGCACTCCAGTCTGGGTGACAGAGTGAGACTCCAGCTCAAAAAAAAAAAAAATAATATGGCCAGGTGCAGTGGTTCATGCCTACAATCCCAGCACTTTGGGAGGCTGACGCGAGAGGATTGCTTGAGCCCAGGAGTTCGAGACCATCCTGGGCAACATAGTGAGACCTCATCTGTACAATAAATAAAATAAAAAATAAAGAATATTGATCTAACCTCTATATTTCTACTCAGCATGGGGACCTTGCTTTCTGGATGAGTTCCTGTTGGTGCTGTTGTGCCCTGTTAGCTTGTAGCTTGCTACATTCTCTTTCATGTTGTTGCTGCCTGATTCACCGCCTATTATGGGTCCTAGGACACATTTTGTTGGCCTCATATGTTTATTTCTCCCCCACACACGTAAAACAGGCCTTGTAATATTTGCTGTCTTCTAGTTATGTTACAGACATGGGCCATAGGTGACTTGTTATCTTTCTTTGGTCTATAGAAAGAAGCACAGATAAGATGTGAGTTTAGACAGCCACCATTATCCTGTGGGTACTCTGAGACCTTTAGTGGTTTTGTTTTAATTTTTGCACTTTTGATACTAATATTTAGCTTTAATTAATTTAAAACTAATTTCTCTCTGTGTCTCGAGAAAATCATCCGCTTTATTTTCTGTGAACATATTATTGATGGACTAACTCCAGTTCTTTCTAACCATGTTCAGGCCTTTCTGACTCCACATGTTTTTGATTACAAGAAGTATAAAGCCAAGTCAAACCAGTTAAAACAATAGGGGAAGGTTTTATCTCACATAGGAGGCAAGCCAGAGCGGAGGGCAGGATTGAATGTTTGTTTCAGTGATTCAACAACGCCATTAAGGACACAGTCTTTTCACTGCTCTGCTTTGCTGTCTTGGGCGTCATCTTCAATCTTCAAGCGAGTAGCAGGACAGCTATGGCCAATGTAGTACTTATATCAGATGTAACATCCAGAGGAAAAAGGGGTGTTCTCTCCATGGTCTCATTTTTTTTTTTTGAGCTGGAGTCTCACTCTGTCGCCCAAGCTGGAGTGCGGTGGCATGCTCACAACCACCCCAGCATCAACCTACTGGGCTCCAGTGATCCTTCCATCTCAGTCTTCCAAGTAGCTGGAACAGGATCTCATTTTTAAGAACGGAAAAAGCATTCCCTGAAGCACCTACTCTATTCCTCCTCCAGCGGGACAGTGTCACGTGTCATCCTAAACTAGTTACTGGGAAGGGAAGGGGGAGTGCCATGATCGCCATCAGTTGCTGGGGTGGAGTGAAAGTTGGAAGTCAATGGCCTTGACTATTTGCCCTCTTATTTCCTGCTCTGTTAAAAAAAAACTCCCCCCAAAATAAACCTGGCTAGATTAGTGAACATAATGCAAAAAATGTAGAAAGGTTTTCTTAGAACATTAAAAATATATATTATTTTGAACTTTTTTCCTCCAAGAAAATCTAAGTATTTTAAATCCCTCTGAGACACCTTGGATTTGGTGGTTGGAATGGATAATAAAGGTGGGGACTTTGTGACTACATTAACAAAATAAGTTATGAAAGCACAAATTCTAACTGCCTTAGACTTTGTACGCCTTTCTTGGGATGGCTCCTACAAACTCTGCCTCTTATGATTTATTTTTTAAATCTTAAAATAATTTAGTTAGTAGAGATATTAAAATCTGTGCTATCCGGTGGATTCTGATTATTGCCAAATGGTTTATTTCTATTCACTCCTATTTTAAGTCTGGGTTCAGTTGGGAAAACAAGTAATTGAAGAGTGAAGGGTTTAACATAGGAATTCGGGATTATCCAGATGTGGGAGGACCTAGGGGAGTGACGGTCTGGAAGGCTACAGCTGGAAATTGGAAAAACAGTCACTACCTACTTTAGCCTGATGCACTCACGAGAATGGAAAGCCAAGAGGACAAGGAGTTGCATGTATTTAGCCACTCAACATGAAGTGTTGAGTTCACTGACATATCTGTGAAGCCACTATGTCTGGGAAATTGGACTTCGTGAAGAGATGTGTGAAACTGCTGTGTGTGGAAACCATCATGCCCGAGATGAACCACTCTTCAAACATAATGGCCTCTTCTTCCCTCCCACCTCCTAAGTCCCAGATGAGTTTTTCCCACTGGCAAACTGTGACTGATAACTCTCTCTGCAAAAGAAGAACACAAAGTTCATTATTTTTCTAATGGAGTCATACTTTCCTTTGAGAGCCTATATAAATTCACTATTGCTACAAAATAAACGGCCACAGAATCTTAGTGACATGCAACCATAAATATTTGTTTAGGTCCCATGCCTGTAGGTCAGTTGGGGGTTGGCTTATTTGGCTGGGAAAAGGCTGGAAAACTTGGCTGGGAAAGCTTGACTCTATGCCTCAAAACTTTCTCTTTGATTGGGGGCTAGTCTGGGCATGCTCTGTGATGATGACAGAAAGGAAAAAGAACAAGCCAAATCACACAAACCTTTTCCAAATCCCCAGGCATATCACACCCACTAATATTCCATTGATGAAAACAAATCACAGGGAAAAGCTCAAAGTCAAGGGGCAAGGAAATACAGTTGCCCATGGTGGTGAAACAATCAAGAATTTCTGAATAGCCATCTAACTTATCACAATCTCTTAAGTATAGTCTCTTCCAAAATAGACATAAAGAATAGCCTATTCCATTATCAACAGACCAAGGCTCAGCACTGGAGAGCTCATAAGTTTCTGGACATTCCTGAAAATGTTCTCTCTTCTAGTTTGTCTCTTTTTCCCACTCATCATGGGCTCTTCTTCTTTTTCAAAATCAGGGGCAGATAAAAGCATGAAATTTTACATTTTCCTACTATTTACTCACTCATCTGTTCATGAGCATCGAATAGCTACTGTGTGCCAAGTACTGTGCTGTAGTGGGTTGGGAACTAAGCCGTCCCTTCCCTCAAGGAGCTCACTCTTTATCAAAGGAGGCCGGCAGCAAAGAGACAATGAGAGCGCTGCATGTGTGGCAAACAGATTTTAGGTGGTCCCTCACGATCTTGATGCTTACACCTTTATGTAAGCCCCTCCCTTTTGAGTGTGAGTGGGATCTGTGACTTTCTTCTAACCAATAAAAGATGACAAAAGTGATGGGACTTCACTCCCATAATCATATTACATTATATAAGAGTCTATCTTGCTATCCGACTGGCTCTAAAGACTCTCTATGCTGGACGAAGTAAGAGGCCGTGTTGGAAACATTCACATGGCAAGGAACTGTGGGCAATCTCCAGCAACACACAGCCAGAAACCAGGGCCCTCAGTCCTAAAGACAGAAGAAAATGAATTCTGTCAACAATTGCACTGAGCTTGGAAGCAGATTCTTCCCCATTCAAGCCTCCAGATGAGAATGCAGCCCAGCTGACACCTTGATCATAATCTTATGAGATCTTAAGCAGAGGATCCAATTAAGCTGTGTCTGAACTCCGGGCCTACAGAAATAGTGAAATAATCCATGTGTGTTGGCTTAAGCCACCAAATGTGTGACAATGTACTATATAGCAATAGAAAATGAACAGAGCATCTTGTGACCATTAAAGAAGTGCTATGAGAACCCACAGAGAAAGTTTCCTAGAGAAGGTAATACCCAAACTGAATCTAAAGGATGCTTAGGTATTAGAAAGCAAAAAATGTGAGAGAAGAGTGTTTGGAGTGGTGGCAGGAGAAAACACAATGTACCTTTCAAATTTTTTTTGAAATGAGGCAGGAAATAAACAATCATGACCCACTCGTTTAGGATGTGAAGGGGACAGTGGTAAGAGATGTCACTGAAAAGACAAAGGCAAGTATTAGAGCATTAAGAACTTTCCATGTCAAAGGGTCTAAATATTATCATAAAGGAAGTGGGAAACAATTAAAGAATCTTAGACCTGGTGAAACATAAGCAGATCTGAGCTATAGAACCAGTGGACATAAATTATTGCAATCTTCGACTCAGTGATCTCTTCCATTGATAAAGATGGTGGGGGTGTTGAAGACAGGAGATTGCAGACAGGAGAAGAGAAGTCATGAAGGAAGCAGGGAGTGAGGCTGAAGAAGGCAGCATTTCCTACCAGTCCTTACTGGTACGCTGAAAACTGGAAGAAGGCAGAGATGAATGGAGGAGACTGAGGCTGACGATCTGGAGAAGGAAACCTGAGTGGCACCACAAAACAAGTAGGAGGAGGAGAAGTAGACACTGAGTCAGGTAAAAGAAACTCAGAGAGGTGGGAGCATGGTCCTTGGAGAATCACTGAAGGAAGGTTACTGCCTGTGCCTGGCAATATGCTGTTATGTTTGATGACAAGGTGACAGGAAAAACAGTCACTAATATTTGGAAGGACTTTCCACTTTACAAAGAAATTTTACATACATGGAGTCATTTAGCCAGAAGAATCCTGTGAGACAGAGCAGGATATTAGAAATTAATATGTATTCAACATCTTCCATGTACGGGGTGAAGAAACAAGTGCAGAGGTTAAGTGACCTTCCTATATAGAGCAGGGATCTGAACCTAACTTCTCTGACCCTAAATGACCCCTCTGTACTAGCTGACTTCCATAATAATTTACCAGCTCTGTCTTCCAGCTCAAGACTCACCCTCTACCTATCCCAACAACGAACAGTGTTTCTTTGAGCAGTTAATTTTTAAAAGAGCACAGAAAACAACGCAACTTCCCTCTTTCTTTTCAGCCATATTGCTTGTGTCTCTGAATCTACAATGAGTTTGTAGGATCAGTTTATAAGCATTGTTTGTTTTGACTGCTGGGTTTTTTTTACATTTTACAACCTATTCTTTTTTTTTTTTGAGTGGGAGTCTCACTCTGTCACCCAGACTGGAGTGCAGTAGTGCGCTGCCGGCCACCGCAGCCTCAACCTGCTGGGCTCCGGCAATCCTGCCACCTCAGCCTTCCGAGTAGCCGGAACTACAGGCGTGCGCTACCACGCCCAGCTAATTTTTGATTTATTGTAGAGACGAGGGTACGCCAAGTTGCCCGGGCGGATCTCGAACCCACGGGCTCAGGCAATCCTCTCGCCTCAGCCTCCCAAAGTGCTGGGATTACAGGCTGAGCCACCAAGTCCGGCCTACAACCTATTCTTAAATTTTCAAATTATTTTAACCTCTTAAAGGGTAGTAAACTTTAATCCTGAATCGTACCCCACATCTTTAAAATAAAATATTAATAAATAAAAATTTTTTTAAAGGTTAGTAAACTTGGAAGTATAATTCAAATTTTTCAAAGTTCCAATTTCTATGTAAGAAATCTAAATTAATTTTGTTAGAAATAATTAAAGCAACATTAAAAGAAGAACACAAGAATTAGTCATATTCAAACTTATTTAAGCTAAACAAAATTTGAATTTGTTATTATGATTAATATTTTAGTTATAAAACAAGGCAAAATAAATAGGCTCAACTCAATTTACTTGGGGTTGGGCAAGGATGAATTCTTTTGATTGAGTGATTGACTTCCTGAGGCATGTTGTTTTCTCTAGCAAACCTAGACTTCACAGCGGCATACCTAGAAAGAGAAAAGGAACAAATGATCTAAACTCCCAAATGCATTTTGGGAAATGTATATTACTTTTGACAAAAATAAGTGAAACAAACGCTTTGACCATGGTACTATTTTGAGTACTGACTAATTTAATGGTAAGGTAAAATTATTTCAACATGTACTTTCTGACAGAATAGTAGATAGAAAAGCAAATATAAGATTAGAATTATAAGAGTAATAAAAATATCATGTAATACAGCAAGATGCTTTCTCAGGCTGTCATAACAAACTACCACAAACTCGGTGACTTAAAATAATAGAAATTTATTCTCTCAAAGTTCTGGACTGGGTGCGGTGGCTCAGCCTGTAATACCAGCACTTTGGGAGGCCGAGGCGAGAGGACTGCCAGAGCCAGGGGGTTCGGGACCAGCCTGGGCAACTTGGTGAGACTTTATCTTTACCAAAAAATCACAAAAACTAGCTGGGTGTGAAGGCGAGCATCTGTAGTTCCAGCTGCTTGGAAGACTGGAGCAGAAGGATCGTCTAAGCCCAGCAGGTCAAGGTTGCAGTGGCCATGAGCATGCCACTGCCCTCCAGCCTGGACAACGAGTGAGACTCCAACTTAAAAAAAATTTTTTTTCTGGAGGATGGATATCTGAAATCAAGATAGCAGCAGGGCCATTCTCCCTCTGAGAACTCTAGGGACCAATCCTCTCTTGTCTTTTCCTAGCTTCTGCTGGCTCCCAGCAGTCCTTGACATTTCATGACTTGTAGCTACATCTTACTCCAACCTCTGCCGCCAATGTCACATGACCTTCTTTCCTGTGTGTATCTCTCTTTTTTTCTTCTAAGAACACCAGTCGTTGAATTTAGAGCCCACTTTAATCCAGTATAGTCTCATCTTAACTAATTACATTTGTGAAGATCCTATTTTGAAATAAGGTCAAATGCTGAGGTCCTGCGGGGAACACATGCTTCAGAGAGACACTATTCAACCCACTACACAAGTGAAACATTCTAACAGAAAGATTCATGACTTATTCTGGATAAAACAACAGGCTTGCAGGAGACATCAATAAACCCAAATTAAGCATCAGAACATTTCTTTGGAGAAGGAGTTTATACGTGAAAATGAAAATTTTTGCAAAGATTTCCTTTGGAAATGACCACATTTGAGGATGTATCATGACAAGAATACTTCTGGTGGAAAATTATTTATTGAGAAAAATAAAGTGGTATGGAGATGTTTTGTCCTACAGGTGTATCTCTCTTACACAATATTACTAAAAAGTTCATTCACTTAATAAATATTCATTAGACACCTACTTTGTGCCACACACTGTTCTAGGAGCTAATGATATAGAAAAAATGAGGGAGACAAAAACTCTGACCCCATAGAGAAGAGACAAAACATGAACAAATATGAAACGCAAGATACATCAGTAGTGATAATGCTATAATGAAAATAAATCCTCCAACAAAATGCAGTGTAGAAGTAGTGAGAGCAGACTTCCTTGCCTTGTTCCTGAAGTTAGGAGCAAAACATTCAGTTTTTTACCATTATGTATGAGGTTGGCTGTAACTATTTCTTAGTATATGTGCTTTCCCAGGTTGAGAAAGTTCTGTCCTATTCTTTTTAAAAAATATTTTATTTTAACAATGTAGAGTATAATCCAGGATTAGGTATACAATACAAGCGGACATCATACAGGTAAAGTCTGGGCCTCCCTTTGATCCACTTTGCCTGGTTTGAGATCAGGTACCCTGATTGATATTGTGTCCCCACCCCCGTCCTATTCTTAAGTCGCTGAGTTGGTGTTTTTTTTAAACCAGGAATGAGTGTTGAATTATTTTTACACCTGCTGAGAGGATCATCACATGGTTCTTCTTTCTTATTCTATTTTATGTTATTTGAATTTTTCAAATGTTAAACCCAGGTTACATTTAGTATAAATCCCACGTGGTCATGATGAATTATCATAATTATTTATATCTATTTATCATAATTAATCATACCAAGTGGGGTTTATACCAGGAATTTAATCTTGATTTAACATTCAGAAAAAATCATACAATATTTTTAAATCTACATTATCTATGTCATACACATACAGATTCAATTTGCTAAAAATTTTGCATCTATAGATGAAGTGTATTGATTTGTAGTTTTCTTTTCATGTCTGTCTTAGCTTTGTTATTGAGGTAATGCTGACTTTATAACATGTGCTGGGAAGTGTTTTCTTCTATTCTATATTCTGAAAGAATTTGCATACATTGGTATTATGTTTTCCTTAAATATGTGGAAAAATTCTCTAGTAAAGCCATCTTGGCTTAGCATTGTCTTTGTGTGAAGGCTTTTAACTATATATCAATTTCTTTACTAAATACAGGCTTTTTCAGGTTACTCATATCTAAGTGAGCCTTGGTAAATGTTGTCTTTCAGGAAATGTGTTCATTTTATCTGTGTGGTTGGATTTATTGATCTAAATAAGTCTTTACTTTAGTTTCAGAGATATATGCACTGGGAAACTTCAGTGGGTATAAAATTCACTAGGTATCTTTACTGGGTATAAAATTCTATGCCTAACAGTTTCTTCTAAGTGCTGTAAAGTTGGCATTTATTATATTTTGGTTTGCAAGATTTCTGACACAAAGTTATTGGTTATTCTTATCTTTGCTCTACCATGAATAACATGTGCGGTCTCTTTTTATCCCTTGCTGCTTTTAAGATTTTTCTCTTTATTTCTGAGTTTCAGCTATTTGATTATGATGTGCCTTGGTTTGGTTTCTCTACATTTCTGTTTCTTGGGATTCACTGAGCTTACTGGTTTGAGTTTGTAGCTTTCCTCAAATTTGGAAAATTTTTAGCCATAGTTATTTCTTTAGATATTTTTTCTGTACCCTCTCCTGGGGCATCTGTTACATGGATCTTACACACTTGATATTGTCCCACATCTCACTGAGGTTCTTTTTAGTCTTTTTTCCTACATTTTCATTTTTAGGAATTTATATTGCTAGACTTCCAAATTCATAGGTCATTCCTTCTTCAGTGTCTAATTTACTGCTCTTCCTATAGGGTATATATTTTTTAAATTTTTGATTATTTTTATTTCTAGATGTTCCACTGGCATTTTGTATGTTCTTCATTTCTTCATCACATTCATATTTTTCTTCAGATACTTGAGTATTTTTTACAAGATGTATAATTGCTGCCTTAAAGTCCATATCTAATTCAATTTCTCTATCATTTATGGATCTATTATTTTTCTATTGGTTATAGGTCATATTTTCCTGTATTACTGGCGATTTTTTTATGGGATATTGGACATTGTGAATTTTATGTTGTTAGGTGCTGAATTTTGTTATATTTCTTTAAACATAGCTGTTTTTTGTTCTGGTATGCAGTTCAATCTTTTGTGAAAATCATTTTGATACCCTCAAGGCTTTTTCTCTCTTTTTTTGGCTTATTATTATTATTACTTTTGGGTCTGGCTCTATCACCCAGGCTGGAGTGCAGTGGTGCAGTCACTGAGTCTTTGCTCACTGCATCCTCGAACTCCTGGCTTCAAATGATCCTCTTGCCTCAGCCTCACGAGAAGGTAGGACTACCAGCAAATGACATCACGCCCAGTTAAGTTTTTCAATCTTTTGTAGAGACAGGTTCTCACTATGTTGCCCAGGCTGGTCGTGATCTCCTGGTCTCAAGCAGTTCTCCCACCTCAGCCTCCCAAATTTCTGGTATTACAGGTGTGAACCACCTTGCCAGTCACGAAGTCTACTTTGAGGTTTATCATAACGGTGGCAGCCTTTATCTGGAGGCTAATAAGGCCTCACTATAAGGCATAGCCCTTCTGAAGTCTAGTCAGTGTCTGTTCAATTATAAGGTCTCTCCACTTTAGCTGGCAGGAGCACAAATAATTTGCAGCTCTATGTGAGTCGTGTGTAAGGTTAAAAACACCATTAGGATTGTATTTTCCTTAGGGCAAGTATGACTTTAGAAAACAACATAACTTGATTTATACTTTTTTTCCTCTGCTGATAAAGTTTTGTCCTCAAAAAATGATATAAGCATTATTTCCTTTTTTTATTAAACCATTTGCCTTTATACAACTAAAAATACAAATGATAAAAACAAAAATGTTCAGTGTCACTAACAAAATGCAAATGGAATGCCTCTGAAGTAAAATGCCATAATTATTAAGGTAAAAAGTAAAAGGAAAAACCCCACTGCTTGCTCATTCTTAAAATCTCCCATAGTTTTGGTGGCACCATCAGATGCAGCATGCGTAACAGGAATAATAAAACTTACTGTATCCTTCCATCAGTCATTTGACTTTTGGTAACATGCTCTAAGGGAACCTCTTGGCTTCCTTCTCACTCCCCTTTTCTTCGGGTAAAACACAATCTAATATGACTCTGGGGAATATGGTCCTTCTCCCTCTCACTCCTGCCCAGATGGAGGGTATGGGCAAGGCCTAAGCTGATCCTATTTCCCTGATGATGGGGAGAGGCACCGAGGGAGAGGGAGAGAGGAGAGAAGGGAGAAAGAGGGGGGGGAGGGAGAGGGAGAGAGAGAGAGAGACCCTTAAAATGTGGGAGAACACCAAAAAAGCAATTACCTTAGGGTAAAAAAAAAAAAACACGTGTTTGTGGCTCACATGAAAAGTCTGTTGAGTGTTGCTGTGAAGGAATCCCTGAGGCTGGGTGAATTATTAGGGAAAAGGTCTATCCAGCTCAGGGTTCTGCTGGCTGAGGGGCTGGGCGTCTGAAGGCCTCAGGCCCTTCCTCTCCTGAAGGAGGCCAAGGGAGAGCCCAGTATGTGGAGACTGGTGGAGAGAGTGGAAGCCAGAGAGGGGAGTGCCAGGCTCCTTTTAACAGCCAGCTCTCTCGGGAACAAACACAGGGAGAACTCCCTCTCCCCCTCACCCCAGGGAGGGCGATAAAGATCTGCCCCCATGACCCCAACGGCCCCCCTGCTGGGTTCTAGCTCCAACATCACCCTGGGAATTGAATTTCAGCATGAG